GGAAAAAAAAAAAAAAAAAAAAAATAAAAACAAAAGAACAAAACAAAACCCCAACAACAACAACAAAAAAAACCAAATAAACAAAACCCCCAAACCAAACAAATACACAAAACCAACCAACCCACAAAAAACCAAAACTGAGATGGTGGAGACGGATCATGGAATCATCAAGGCTGGCAGAGACCTTGGAGAACAGCAAGTCCAAGCGTTCAACCCTGCGCAGCCCAAACCACAAGCACATCACCCACCACCTCCCCGGGCAGCCCATTCCAATCCCTGCCGGCCCCGACAGTGCAAATGTTCTTTTTAATATCTGCCCGGAATGTCCCCTGTCTCAGCTTAAGGCTGTTACGTTACCTTAAGCCATTTCCTCCAACCCTCTTTACGTGTGTCCACGAAGGAAGAAGTAGAACACCCGCTGAGGGGAAAAAGTGGCATATCCAGGGGAAAACTGATATATCCCTGGAAAGGTGTGCCCAGGGGGGAAAAAACTAATGTGTCAAGGTGAAAAGCAAGTGTATCCCGCGAGGAAAATGAGAGTGTCCATAGGAAAGACATATATCTAGGGGTTGGTGAGTGTATCCCATGAGGAGAGCAGAGCCCAGGCTGTGAGGAAAGGTGGCATGAGAAGGGATGAGCAACTCTACAGGAAAAAATACCTACTGGGGAGGAAAAAATAATATATCCAGAGATAAAAACCTGAAATACCTGGAGAAGAATGACAACAGGTCAGGGACCCTCTGCGTCACCTGCAAAGGGCTTTGCTGGTGTCACCCCACTGTGATAGCAGAAGGTGCTTTCATGGCATCCCTCTGTGGGATGAGGGCCAGGACGGGCTCTGGGCAGGTAAGGATGGGGTTGCAGATCCCTGAGCCCCCACTTCAGGCTCTGGGGAGAGTACAGCAGGTGCCTCTCCAGCAGAGAATAATTTTGGTGAGTAGCAGGCTGAGAATCAGATAAAGAAATTGGTAGTGCCAGAAACAGCTCCTCAGTCATGTCCGTGAGCCAGCCTGAGCCTGGCTCCGCTTTTCTTAGAGGAAAATAGGCTTGTCAGGCCTAATCCACATCCACATCAGCAGCAGAGAAAGCTAACTCCACTAAACTAGCAGTTTTCTGGTGTAAAAATAAAGGCAGATCAACACAGGGCCAGAAAGTGAAACTCCAGTCAGTCTCACAGAAAACTGAGAGCAGAAAGCAGCGGTTTCAAGCTCCTGCTCTCTTCCTACAGCTTGACCCAAACACCATCCTTTCCCTCTCCCAATGCAACTCAATGTCACAAATTCCTGGGCATGTATATTTTGTGCATATAAATCCCCCAGCGATTTGCATAAATAGATGCACACTATCTGATGTACGTGCAAAATCAGACACTGCAGCTGAAAAATCTGGTCATTAAACTGTTCTGTGAGATTCTCACGTTTCTCAAGGAATGAGACACATAAATCCACTGACTGCATCTTTGGCTATTGAGTAGATTTAATAGCATTGTGTTAACACCTAGAGACGTTAGCGGAGAACTGAGGCCTCATTGTATTAAGCTCTGTAGACACGAATAATGAAAAGATTGTTCCAACCCCACCAATTTACGGTCTTAGTGGATTATGGGGTTTATTTTGTTTTTAAACAAGCATTTCTGAGTTTGTTATATAACATGAAATAAATCCCATCATTGTATTGAATTTAACGTAGACCCTTTTTTATGAAGCACTTTCACAGAGGGAGAAATAATCAAGTGACGCTATCATAGCAAAAATAAATCCTTATCATTAAATATACATATATATATATTAAATTTGTTTTCTTTTATCTTTATCCTCAACATTTGGAGTAGGTTGTTCCAAGTTGAAGGGCAGTTGCTATTTAAATAAAACTCCAAGTACTTTGGAGACTACTGGGAATATTTCAGATTTGGGCAACTACAGTGTGGATGTTTCTTTGTGAGCACCTGTGGCTGGTTATTTTGACTCTTGCTGGACTACAGCTGTTGCTATGCATGTGCTCGTTCTGTTTGATAACTTTGTTAATATGACAAGTTCTACAAGTATTGTCAAAATAAGTCTGACACCACAACAGATTGTGAAGAAAAGGCAGAGCACTAGTGGAAAAAAAAAATAGAATTCTTCAACATGTTTAGAGTTGATTTCTAATCTGATGGCAAATTGATTTTTTTCCCAAACTAGTTTGCCATCCCTCTTTTCTAAGCTGTGGTAACAAACCCTGTGCTCAGGAAATGAGGCTGCAAATGGAGTGAGTGCAGTGTCCCAGTTATGTTTCTAATAACACTGGGCCATGTGAGACAGTGGGTGCCTTCCCAAACTAAGGTGTTTCCAGAAGGGTAGAGGAGAATACAGATCCAGCATTCAGACACTGGAAATCAGTGGTTTACCTGAGTGGTTTTTTTCACTCTACCATTTTCCTTCAATTCTTTACACTCCAATTAATTTTGGAAGGAATTACAGGTTTCCTAACTGATTAGCTACTATTTCAACTACCTCCTTGTTTAGAAGCACTTAACATGAAGTGCTTATAAAATATCTCCCTTCAGATCTTTAAGGAAAATTAAAATATGCCATTTACATTTTTGCACCTACTGAATTTTTCACAAAGTACTGCACTTAAGATTACAGGTCTGAGCTGGGCCTGAACATATGTTATTTGGGAGGGTTCGCTTCGGAGTCTCACTTCACTTGGAATCTGATGGTAGACTGGTTAGGAACTGGTGTTCTGGCACAAAATGGAAAGAGGAAGCTCTACTGTCTAACACACAAATGCTACAAGATGTGGGCTTGGCTGGATGAAGACATTTAAGAGCCTGCACATGCACAGTAAATCAACTTGCTAAACACCTCAAGAACAAAACTGCTGATCCTAAGAGCCAACTTGCTGCACTGCACAACACTCAAGAGAATAAAAGGCTCACAGATGAGACATCTACAGAGCTGACTGTGCCAGGATAATGAGGAGCACGGAGAACACAAGGGATTTTTCCCTGCTTGATGCACACATGTAATTCCTATTGACAGCAGTGGGAGTTGCACATACATATCAAGGGGACAATAGAACCCTTCGTGGTGGAGATGAGTATCGGATGTGAGCTGTGTGACCAGGGAGAGAGAAGGAGGGAGAGGGAGGTGTGATTGCTGAGGGACGGTACAACATACAATAAACTTGTCAAGCAGCCATCAAATATGTGAAAGCATGGGAGTAACAAATTAAATGGACAGGAGGTGAGAAAACAGTGTCTCAAGAGACTTTTGCCTTCCTAGCTTAGGGCTGATGTCTGCATTCCTTATTTGGGAGATATTCCCACTGGCTTAACTCGTTTAATTCTCTGATAAGTAAATGTTTTCCTGTACTCGAGTAAATAGTTACAGCCTAGATTCCAAGGATAAAAATGGAGTTTATTAAAGAAGTGTGATAAACAAGAAGAAATGAAATTAATACAGTGTGCAGACCACACTTTCTGTACGATCTCTTCTGTATGGTCTGAGGACTCCTGCTTCTCAAATAGAAGAGAGCAATCTGACCAGTGATTTACAGAGTCATTATTAGTAATTTTGGTTTGTGTTAGAAGAATTAACAAAGGGCAGAACAGAGCAATGATAATGATTCTAGTTTGATAGATAGTGGTAAATTATGTGTTTGTGTCAGCAGTTCAAAAATTAGATGAATGAGGAATGCCTTCAGATTTAATCCACATTAGGGATCTTTCAAGTATGTGTAGGGAAGAGGGGACAAGATGAAACTGAACAGTAAAGGGAAAGGTAAATCTAAGCTATGGAGAAATTATTGATCAGCAAAAGACATAAATATCTACAGATCTAAATGGAAACCAACAGAAGAAACAAAGGATGCTCCTCATTAGGAAGGCCACAACCACTGAAGGAAAATAACTAGCAGTATAAGTCAGAGTTTGGTACATTTATGTAATTTTTTTAAGCAAGAACAACTGGAATTACATGAATGGTTGGGCACAGCTCAACATTCTGGATTGCTTATGATCTGGCTCCAGTACAAAATCTAAAGACAAAATGATGAGTCACAGAGAGAAAGGGACTTGAAGAAAGAATCCCCAGGAAAAAGCAGCACTGAACAGGAATGGAACATGCACTAGTCCAAGCTGCTTTCTGTACCAGCCTGCACGTGTTCCCTGTGAGCTGGAATGGTGAGAATGACAC